CGAGGCGGCGCTGGCGCGCCTGCGCGAGGACGAGGGCTGCCCGGTGCCGCCCGAGCGCCCCCTGCCCCGGCGGGCCTTCGCGCGCCAGCTCTGGCTGCTCTTCGAGTTCCCCGAGAGCTCGCAGGCCGCGCGCGTGCTCGCCGTCGTCTCCGTGCTCGTCATCCTTGTCTCCATCGTCGTGTTCTGCCTCGAGACGCTGCCCGACTTCCGCGACGACCGCGACAGCCCGGGGCTCGCCTTGGTGGCCGCTGCTGGCTCGGTGAGGGGCGGAGCCTGGGTGGAGAAGGGCGGGTTTGAGAGGAGGTGGGCGGGGCCCACGGGGAACTGGCCAATCATAAGGCGAGGCAAGGGGCTGGGAGGGCTAGGCCAGCCAGGGACAGATCCTGACCAGGGGCCTCCGTCAGTAAGAGCTGGGCTAGGGGCAGGGCCTGAAAATCCGAGTGGGAGGACCTGTCCTATCAGAAGGCAGAGTTGAGGTAGGTGAGAAACCCGGCCTACAGAAGGCACGGTCCTTGATCCAGGGGGCAGAACGTTAAAAGCCAAAAGTGTGCAGTGATGGAGAGCCTGAAAAATCTGGAGGTTATGCTGCTGGCAGTGAGCAATTGGAAGGATGGGCTGGAGATGGTGAGACCACGGGCCTGAAGAAAGCGAGCTAAGAATCTGGAGCCAGAGGGGTGGGGCCTGAGGGCTGGGGTAGGAGGAGTCAATCACAAGAAAGTCAGGCTGAGGGCCGTGAGAGGACTGGCCTGGGGGCTTGGCGTAGAGTTCTTTCACCGTTATAGAAAGGGCTGGGGTTGGGGCGGGCAAGGAAAGGCAGGGCGCAAGGGGGTGGGGCCGGGGTGAGGACCCTCCTCATCTAGAAAATCAATGCTTGGGACGGGACTTGGAAGGGAAGAGCTTGTACCCTATGCAAGTAACAGTTCAGGAGTTCCCGCCAGTCAAGGGGCCGGGACCACCTCTCCGGCTACTAATCAGGTCAGGAAACCAGAAAGTCAGCTGTCCAGGAATGATCACTGAGGTTCTGGGAAGGAGTCTAGGACAGCCAGGTTACTGGGGGCCCTGGGACAGTGGTTACTGACCAATCTGTAGAGAGTAGTTGGATATTTAAACAATGAATAAGGTTGTCCCATTGTCCCAGCCCTGGCCCTCCCTGAACCCTTTCCTCCCTGCAGTTCCCCACTCGGCTGAATGGCTCCAGCCCAGTGCCTGGAACTCCACCCCGTTTGCCCTTCGATGACCCGTTCTTTGTGGTGGAGACGCTGTGCATCTGTTGGTTCTCCTTTGAGCTGCTGGTACGCCTGGTGGCCTGCCCGAGCAAGGCGGTCTTCTTCAAGAACGTGATGAACCTCATCGATTTTGTGGCCATCCTGCCCTACTTTGTGGCACTGGGCACTGAGCTGGCCCGGCAGCGGGGAGTGGGCCAGCCAGCCATGTCACTGGCTATCCTGCGGGTCATTCGATTGGTGCGTGTCTTCCGCATCTTCAAGCTGTCCCGGCACTCAAAGGGCCTGCAGATCTTGGGCCAGACGCTTCGGGCATCCATGCGTGAGCTGGGCCTCCTCATCTTCTTTCTCTTCATCGGTGTGGTCCTCTTTTCCAGCGCAGTCTATTTTGCCGAAGCTGACCGTGCGGACTCCCATTTCACCAGCATCCCTGAGTCCTTCTGGTGGGCGGTGGTCACCATGACCACGGTTGGCTATGGAGACATGGCGCCTGTCACTGTGGGTGGCAAGATAGTGGGTTCTCTGTGTGCCATCGCTGGTGTGCTAACCATTTCCCTGCCCGTGCCAGTCATTGTCTCCAACTTCAGCTACTTTTACCACCGGGAGACAGAGGGTGAAGAGGCTGGGATGTTCAGCCATGTGGACACGCAGCCCTGTGGCACACTGGAGGGCAAGGCCAATGGGGGGTTGGTAGATGGAGAGGTGCCTGAACTACCACCTCCACTCTGGGCTCCCCCAGGGAAACACCTGGTCACTGAAGTATGAGGGACAGTTGAGGTCTGCAGGACCTCACACCTCCTTGGAGGGAGGGAGAGTGGGAGGGACGGGTGGAGGGGAAGGCCAAAGGGAGGGGATTGGATTTAGGAAGATCTAGGTTAAGTGGTAATGAGTGGGGGAACACTGAGTCTTTCTTGTTGGGTCTTGTGGTTTGATAGCTCTGGTGGACACCTCCTTAAATACCAATGAATGGCAATGGGTTGTGTTGAGTTGAGGGGGACTCCATTTGTTCATACTGCATTGCATTGTGCACAGTTTGTGGGGCCTTTTGGGTAATGTTAAGATAGGTTTGGTCATTCCATTTTCTGTTTCCTAGGTCCATGTCGGGTTGAGTTGGGTTGTGAGTTTGGGTGAGTCTTGTCCAACTGTATCATGCAGGATTCTGTGATTTAATGAGTCCTCTAGGGCCATCTTGGGTCAAGTTAGGTGGTCACCCATGGCATTGTGGAGATTGATTGCATGGTCATGTGCGGTATTGTTGAATTGTGTTGAGACATGTTGGTGTAGCTTTGTGATACTTCGAGGGCCATGTTGTTTTAGGTTCTGTGAATTTGTGAGTCATATGGAAATGGAGAGTCTAGTGATAGAATGTGAGCTTTCTAGGTCACATTAGGGTAAATTGGGTTGGAATGTATGACCAAATGAGTCTTTTAGGGTTCTGTTAGGTTGAGTTGTGTAGGCTGGAAGTTTTTCAGGGCCATGAGTTGAGCCGCATTGAGTTATACAACCACATGGGTCTTGTAAGGCCGGTTCAGTTGGGTTGTCTGACTGTTTGAGTCTTATAGAGCCGTGCTGAATTGAGTTACATTGAGTTTTGTCATTGTGTGAGTCCTATAGGAAGGTTGGGTTGAGATGGACTGTATATATGAGTTCCATAGGGCCATATTGGATTGTTTTGCACTTAGTGGTAGCACTAGGACCCAAGGACAACAACACTGGGGAAGAATCACGTGTCAGGGAGTAAGTGTGGTGGTATGGACTCTGGGAAATGTACTAAACCAGCTTGCCCAGTGTTAACCATTGTAGGGGGAGTGGGGCTGGATTCCGTATCCGTGAATCAAGGTGTTCATCCAGAGGGGCTCTGGGTGAACTAGGAAGATGCTGATGCTCCTCCCGTTTACCCCACGTCTGTGTCATTTAGCCACTCAGGCCCTCCCCCACCATTCTTTCTGCCCCTCCCCTACAGTTTTGCTCCCTGACATGGAGATTAGAGCCACAAGGGGAAGGGGCGAGGGGGAGAAAACTCTTTTTACTCTATCCAGACATTATGGGGGACAGAACCAAAGGGAGGGGGACAGAAACCAGGGGAGGGATAGAGACCCAAAGAGAGGAAGAGATAGAAACTCAGAGATGAGGGGTCAAAGAGAGAGGAACAGAGACTCAGGAAGTGAGAGACAAGACCTAGAGAGAGAGGGGGACAGAGACTTGGAAGGGGGAACGAGACCCAGAAAGAGGGGAACAGAAAGCCAGAGTGAAAGAGGGACAGAGACCCAGAGTGGGGTCTTGGAGACCCAGAGGGCCCCCAGAGAGAGAGGGACAGACACCCAGAGTTGGAGATAGACCACAGAACCTCAGAAAAAGAGAACCAAAAAAGAAAAAGGTAGAGAAAGTCAGTGCCCCTGAACCTGAAAGAGACACGCAGTCCCTATTCCACAGAATCATA